ATTGCTGGTTGTCTATGTCGATGATTTGGCAGTGTTCTCCTTGGTGGCCATCTGCGAAGCTTTCATTCAAGCCGTACAAGAGAAGTGGAAAACTTCCGCACCGACGTGGTTTGGTGAGGAGCCGGTTACTTTCTGCGGTGTTGAAATCGTGCTTACAGGACGTGGATATCGGCTGGCTCAGACGGCGTATCTTCGGGAGCTACTTCATCGATATGACGTTAAGGGTACTGCCGCTGTACCGGTGACCAAGTGGACAGATCCAGAACTCCCGGGGGAGGTTGATCTTGCAGAGGTGAGGTCTGCTCAAGGGATTACAGGAGCGCTGTTGTGGATTGCGACGCGATCCAGGCCTGACATCTCTTTTGCCGTCTCGAAGATGGGCCAAATGGCCACTAAGGCACCGAAGGTCTCCATTGAGTTAGGCTTGCAGGTTCTAGCGTACTTGAGCTCCACGTCTACTTTAGGGATCGAGTTTTTATTTAATGCGGGTTCCTACTTCTCGGCTCACGGGAATTTAAACGTTCCTCGAACGGATCAGGTCTTGGAGATTTATTCAGACGCTTCGCATTCTCCTAACGGGGACCGCTCGACTCAGTGTGTGATTGTGATGTGGTGTGGTTCGCCCCTGGTGTGGGAATCGACGAGACAACCATTCACGACTCTTTCCAGTGCGGAGTCGGAACTGGTGGCGATGGTTCATAGCGTCCAGATCACTGAATCTCTCCAGTCCTTAATCGATGAAATGTTAGAGGAGGACACGGGCATGGCCCTTATGGGCGACAACGCCGCCGCTGTCCGATCTTTCGACATGGCTGGAAACGGCTGGAGGAACCGCCACTTAAGGATGAGGGCGGTCTCGTGCCGCGAAAAGGTCCTGGCAGGGATTTTGCACGTGTCCCATTTACCTGGTGCAGACCAGGTGGCGGACATTGGCACGAAGGCTTTGACCCGAGTTCGCCTCATGCAATTGCTCGAACTGCTCAATATCAGAGAACCGTTAGATGTGCTCGGCGCGGTTCGGACGGCTCGGATGTTGAGTCGACTTTCGCTTACGGGAATCTCGTCAGTTCCTCTTACTGCAGAAGCACTCGCGGGGTTAGCCCTTTTAGCAGCTTTGCCGCGTGTAGGTGCTCAACCGGGAGGTTCCGCGGGAAGTGTTGGTTCAGAATTGTACACTTGGACGGTAGTGGTGTGCACTATCCTGGTTGGGCTCCTAGGCCTAGGGCTTTGGTGGGGGCTGTATGTTTGGGCGGGTCAGGTTCCGGGGGAGCAGTTTGCTTCACCGGCAGGGTCGTTTGATGGTGTCCAAACACTGACGGAGGGGCTAGCTTCGGTCGAGCCAGCGGCGGATGGGTCCGGTGTTTTCAATCCTGAGTCAGGTGCTGCTGACGGGTCTGAGGCTTCCAATGTGGACGGAGGGGGCTCCGAATCTGAGGCTTTTGATCACGAAGAATGGGCCCGGGCAGAGGCTAAGCTTAGAGCAGTAGAGAGGGAAACGGGGTTGACCTTTCTTCAACGGGCGAGGTTAAGAAGACAGTTGCATGCAGGCGGAATAGTGGAGGTGCCGGTTTTCCAGCAGCGATATGGGCCTTTACCACCATGGCTGACGGGTGGTGCTAGTCATGACCAGCAGGGTTTGTCTGGAAGTTCGGAGGAGACGACCTGTGGTTTAACTTTAGTGCTAGCTAGGTGGGGAGGGCTTTTGTTTCCGTTTCTGGGTTCTCCAGCCCCTGAGTGGGCAGCTTTGCGCAACTGTTGCGGGAGTTTTCAGAGGAACGCAGCGCTGAGCCTGTTGAGTAGGCTTCGGGACACTGGGGCAGCGGGAGGTATGCCGTCGGATCCTGGGTTCAGGGCTGAATTTCGGGCTGTAGACGATGGGGATGGTCTTAGGTGGGTTTCGGTTTCAGTTCACAGTGAAGTTACGGGGGTTGAAAGTGATCTTGGTGGTGGGGCTTTGAGCTCGGGGCACCAGGAAACTCCAACCCAGCAGCCATTTGGGCTTTCAGAACCACAAGCCGTAGACCGCCCGTCAGGGACAAATGCTATGGAACCTGGTTCTGAGGAGCCGGTTGATTCCGGTGAGACCTCGCAGTCGGATCATGAAGGTTCGGTTGAGTCTGAAGAAACATCGCAGTCGGATCGTGAAGGTTCGGTTGGATCTTATCGGTCATTGCAGTTGCTAGGGCATCAGTCTCCTGATCATGGATTGGATCGAGGTCAGAGTCCTGGAAGCGGGTTAGCTGACCCCGGTAGGAGGCTAGGTAGGGTTCAGTTCGGGGGGAGTTCGAGTAGTCGCGATGTCTTCAGTGGTGATGTTGAGGTACCGGAGGTTGAGGGCGCTGCTAGTTCGTCGTCACATGGCATGCAAGTGGAATTGCCGGCGGGTTGCTATGAGGATTATGTTTCCCCGGTTGAGGGGAATGATCAATTCCCACTTGTAGGGACGTGGCTGGCAGTTCACTATGCAGTGCAGCTTCTTTCTTACGAAGGTGGTAGGCTTTTGCTGTTGCTTGGGCTTCGCTCGGCGAGTGTGTTGGCCTGGAGGGCCACCTCCGCTTATTTTCGGCAGGCAGTTGCTTGTGCAGCTGCTGACTTGCTGCGCGTGGGTCCGTTTGCAGTGGCATTTTCTGGACCTCAATGGGTCATTGCGGTAGAGCACTATCTCTGCAAAGGAGAGATTCTCGGATGGGTTCGAGAGTCAGCTTCTGCGCCGTCTTCCTCAACTGGACCACATTTCCCGTATGTGTATTGGGGTCCCCCTAGTGTAACACATTATATTTGGAGGATTTTAGCGGTTCAGAGTTTTCGGGTACTGTCCATGCTGGGGGAAAGGGCGCCTGAGTGGGCTCGATTGCGCGCGGCTTCCAGAGATTTTCCGAGTAACCTCATTTTGTCCATCATCCTTTGGTTGCAGGCCACGGGCCCTACGAGGCAGGCTGAAGGCACTATCGCTTATGAGGCGGCGTTCGCGTACTTTCAGTCTGGGGACCGTAGATATCCTTTCTTGGAAAGTGAGGATGAAGAAATTGATGATCGGCCTCATCGAGCTCCTAGGGAGCTCGAGGTCGAGATTCATCGGCCTGTTTATGCACTGGAGGAATCTTCTTCCGAAGACTCCTCTTCCTCGACAGAAGAGCCTTCTATTGTCAGTGAGTCCGTGGAATCAGAGAGTACCGTTGTTTACGAGCCAGGGCCAGAGGCTATTGCAGGGCCTAGTGCGGGAACGGCGGTCTTGGTGAGTGGGCCGATTTACGAAGCGGCAGAGGGAGCACTTCTGGTTCATTATGTAGATGACATGTTGAGGGTTCCCCTTGACGGCTGGACAGTAGAGGAGGTTGAAGTTGTTGTTGAGGGATTGCGTACTGGGGATTGGACGGGTTTTTCTCAGAGGCTTGACGAGGTAGCTGCTGAAGGTGGGATTCCAGGTTCGAGTTCTGATCCGCCACCGGTTATAAGGGCCCGGAGCCGGTTGAGAAGAGGGGTTCAGGGCATCATAGCGGGGCTACGTGGGATTCTTTGGAGCTTGTTTTTGATGTGGTTCCTGGTGCAAGGAGTCAGGGCTCAGGAGGTTCCAGAGAATCTCTTGATTGTTTGGCCTGGTCCCCCTGTGGCCTCGGGGTGTGCTGCGGGAACTTCTGTTGCTTCAGCTGACCTGAGTGATGCTGCATCCCTGGGTTGGTCCAGTGACTGCGACGGGTCTACCCTGTGGGAGATTTTGAAGGGAGTACTGTTGCTCGTGACCTGGGAAGTTGGGCGCTGGTGCCTTACGGCTCGAGGTGTACCTCGGTCTAGTAAGGAGGATGTTGCTAGCCAGACCGCTGATGGCTCAGCGATCCCACTTCCTCTGAAGAGAGGAGTCCCAAATCGAGACAGGATCCTTTTCGCGTTGTGGATCGCTGGCTATCAAGTAGATGCAGATGACCCCGAGTATTCTGACAGGGTTAGGTATGGTTTCCATGGGTTGATAGGCGATTATCTGTGTAAGCTTGAGCGTGAGGGAACCGTTTTCTCAGATGAAGGCTCCCTGTCAGATGCTTCCGAAGGTGGCCGTGTAGTTGCCGAGGATCATGCGACTGGTCCGGTAGGGAGTGAACAGTCTTGAAGAAGGCGGGAGGAGTACCCAGGTTCTCCAGTTGAAGTACTGGGCTTTTACAAACTGGTGATGCTAAGTCTTGCCGGCTAGAATTCTGGGGAAGTCTCTGGTCCTTCTAGGATAATGGTTTAAAGGATGCTAGGGACATGATGATCGATTACCTCTGAAGGAGGTGCTTCGCGGTATAGTGCGAAGACTCGGAATGATGTCCTGTAGAAGCTTTTGTCCTTTTACAAGTCAACGGAATCGCCTGTAGAAACAGATAGGCATGTCTTCACAAGTTTTCCTGTTTGGATCCTCAATCGCTCGCGCCTTGTCGGCCGAGCGAGGGGGAGTGCGTGAAGCATGCCGGAGTGTAGCACGACAGGTCGGAATCCGTGAGGCTGCTTTGCTCGAAAAAGTTTGTGGAGGCGACGAGGCCTTCCGAGTCGTGTGGTCGCATTTGGTTTAATCACTTAGGTTATCCTTCTAACCTTTGGGGTTTTATTCACGTACCTACTCATAACCTTACTTTCTACGTCCCATGAGCCTTCAAGCAAGCTTCAGTTTGTTGTTTGTGCGTCCGAGTATCGCCTGAAAAGGGCCGGCGGACTCTCTGGCAGACGAAGCCTAGACTTCGACCTGAGAGTTATAACATGGATCAAAGCTAAGGGACGTTTAATTTAGGGGCGGCAAGTTCTCAGACCATCCCAGCACATTGGATGCAATCTTGAGGGGTTTGGACCCTTCGTCAATGGCTGACACAGCCCAAACTCCAAACCTGACCTCAATCTTTTAGAGAGACGAGACGCTGCTCGGAGGCACGCGCCGTTACATACGGCATTACGTATGCATGCATAGATCCGACCGTACCGGACCATCCTGCGAAAACCTTGTTACCAATCGTTTCAACTCGCCAATCTGGAAGGAAGGCGGCTACCAACAGATGCAGCAGATGTGCAAGGATCCGACTACAGACCACCATTGGTGCTTTTGGTTTCGAATGTTTCGAGGTATAGAAGTTTAGGAGTTTAGGGTTTTTTAGGGTTTGCGGCTTTTGTACGGTTTTGAGTTTGAGATTCAATTGCAGGAGTCCCGGGTGGATCAACTTCCGGGCTGCGATTTGCGGTCACCTGTCTCGGGCGTTGATCAAACACAAACCATCAGTAGCTCGGAAGTTGAAGCCGAAACGGTTCGGGAGCTTGTTGTCTTGTACACGGCTACATGAACAATTTGAAGACCGACGATGAGGTTAGCATAATCATATAATCACATACTATACTGAATGCCACAGTTACGAGACGCAACGACTATCATTCTCATCATAAGGATAGTCGCATAGCAAGCAGCAAGCATCACAAACAGTCGCGCAGTTTCGCAACAATTGCGCATACTCAGCAGTTGTGTGGCAGCGGGCCGCAAGAGAGTTCACTTGTAATGTAGGAACCTGATGAAGAAACCCTGGGCCTATAACCCCAAAATAGTAGGATTCATATAAGGAGCCCGAATGAAGGCCCAAGGCTTCTTAATCAGGCTCCTACATGTTTATAATACCCTTATAGATCCCATATAGTAACCCTTATAGCCCCCTTTAAAAGGCCCCTAACAAAGGCCCAAGGTTTCCCAGAGTAGGGTTTCCTTTCTGCCTGTGAGGAGAAGATGTCCCAGGCGATGGGCTCCGAGCAGTTGAGCCCGCGCTTCAGCCCTTCGGCTTCTGGTTTCGTGGCCAGGGCCGGGCAACCTTTAAGTATAATATAGGGCCTATATAGGGGCCTTGATAAACTAGACTATAAGCTTAAAATAGTATCGTACTATTTTGGGAGTTCCTTACAGTATTATATTGAGAGTATTTTGGGCCCCAAAACCCTATTCCAACCACTAAGGCCCTCATATTAGACCCCAAACCCCATGCCCTTACGGGGAACCCTAGCGAATCCTTGCCTGGCGCATGCGAGTGCGAGAATCGAAAGGGAACCCTAGTATAGAACCGTACAGCACCGTTAAAAGCAAGCATAAACACTAGTTGGGTTCTGACGTTTCTGATTAGAAGCCTTGCGACATGATGAGACAGTACAGGGGCTTAAACAATTACCTGTGCTATTATTTTAGAGGCTCCTTATTATAATTAATGGTATACTGGGCCCCAAAAACCTATTCTGATTATGAAGGCCCCTAGATCATACAACCCTACTATAGATCCCTTGTTGGATCCCGTTAAGGATCCCTTTGCAGGAACCGTATTCCAGCTACTCAGGCCCCTAAAATACACCCCTGGCTCAGAGTCAAGGTGAGGCTGACGACACCGCAGCTTGACGAGCAGACTCGCAGTTTCTTGGGGATTTTCCATGCAGGTTCTGGGATCGAAGAGGAGGCTTTCGGTTTAGGGTTTTGGGGTTTGGGGGTTAGGGTTTAGGGTTTAAGGGTTAGGGTTTAGGGTGGGTACCCCTCCAGAACAAGAGAACACTTTGCGAAGTGCGGCCTCGAGGCCTCCAGAGAAGCCACATCGAAGAGCAAGCAGTTGCACAACCATGCCGCACTAGTCAGCAGCGACAGAGGTTGCAGAGCTAGCAGAGGCAGCGTACAACTGGTACTTAGAGAGCAGTGGCAACAACTTGATGACAGATTGATGACGATCAAGACCCTACGGGTGTCATAGACAATTCAACATAGACCACGGATTAGCAGATTTTTGCGCAGCAGTACTTCCATAGTGATCCTCCGACTCGCGCCCTGAAGGCAAAGGGGATTATTAACGGGTGGTCTGCGTGATCCGCTGCATCCAGGAGCTTCTGCGGACCCTGAGCGAGCCCGCTGCGCCGAGCTGGCGTCCGACTTCGCTGAAAGGCCAGGGTAAGCGATAGTTCAAGCGATTCGGGACCATCGCGGTGTACTTCTCGCCACTTCTCGTGTTGTCGGGTGTCGGGGCAGCCCATACTTCAAATTGGAAGGACATGGAGTCTCCGTTGAGCTTTGAACTCTTTCTACTTGATGTGTTGATTTTGGTTGACGTGTCTCAGCATGCGGTTTTTGTGCTAGAGTGCCAGTTTGTTGACATTGCATCGACCCGATGCCGGGTGCGAGTGCAAATGGTGATGTTCGTGAGTTAATCAAAAAATCTGTGTTCTGATTTGGTTCCTCTTATCTGAGCTGTTCAAGGCTTTCCGTTACTGTTGGCCTAGTCTTGCTGAGATGTGGTGTTGCGCAGACCGTCAAGTTGCTTTTTGTCGATTGTCTGTGTTCGTCTGCCTTCTTTAGGGCCTTTAGGGTTTAGGGTTTAGGGCAGTGTTGAATTCCTGGCGGTGGCGAGACACAGATTGAGGTGTCATTGCGCACCGACGCTGGTGAGTTCCGTCGCACTTCCCCCCAGTCTCATCCGTTGTTTCCGAGGCCTTACTTCCACTTTCTCGGGCATCTTCGCTGATGAATCCTGGCTGCAACTTCCCCTTAGCCGTGATGAATAGCCGAAATACTCGCACTCATGCAGTAAAAGCAGTAGTGATCAGTAGTGGTAGTTGCAGGAGCAGAAGTACCGCTGCAGTAGCAGCAATAGTAGTCGTCCTTCTGATTCGGAGAGCTTTGCTTCATGGTTTCGAGCTTTGATCCTCCAAGCCCCAGACATCCCCAGGCCCCAGACCCAAAGAGCTGCAGCTCCGCGAAGGCTTGCGAGGAGTCCAATGCGGACACGAAGTCCATGTTCCACACGCTGCCACAGTCGGTGTTGCTCACCCCAAAATTAGCTGGCCTAAGACTCGTGGACCAAGAAGGGGACAACGGGCAAGTTTCGTTGCTCGTTGGCGTTGTGTTCTGCTCCCACCCCCGCGATGCAACTGTCGCTCTGTCAGTGCCCTCACCCAATGCTTCAGGCTGCCTGATCCAACGGCCTCTTACATCCAGGCACGTGGAGCTGACAGCTTGGTAAGACAATCATATGACCGAAACCACGCCACGGCCCCCCAAGGGGGTTTAGTGGGGTTCCCAGACGGTGAACAAGTCTTGCCAGGGTCTGGTACCAGTATCCTCCAGTAAAATGCAGACCCCCAGGCTTCGATTTCTGCCGGATGCTGGGATTCCGGAAGCCCCCAAAGTCTCCTCCATGATAAACTAAACCCTAAGTTCTCACACAATCTCCTAACCCTAAACCCGCCCAGCGGAATCCGCTTTCCGGACCGCAGCAAAAAAAGCTAAACCCCAAACCCTAAACCATACTCCATGAGGCTCTCTGTGACCTTGGCAGGAGCAGAAAGAGGCCCTCAAAAAAAAACCTAAACCAGACGGGGAGGTGCCCCAGCTCCCCGATGGCTCTTTGCAGCTGGACGCAAGCTTCCTCCTCGCCAAGACGCCACTCCCCAAGGCTCTTCACAATAGCTTTGTACGTAGGGTTTTTGGTTTAGGGTTTAGGGGTTTAGGGTTTATGATTAAAGTAATCTTGTCATCGTTGTATTATAACCTTTAGTGTTATGACTGTTACTGTTGCGTTTTGTAATGTTTGCCATGTTATTGTTACGATTATTCGTGTGACCAAACCTACTGTTGTCAAAACTCGTGTTCTTTTTCGGTCAATGTCATTCTCAGTTTGTCTTGCTACTGTTCTTGTGGTTGGTATCGTCAGTTGGTATTACACCGCTTATGATATGGGTGGTATGATTGGCATGTTGGTTTTATTGCGGCAATTATTGTTGTTGTGAGTATCCTTGTTGTTGTGGTTGTCAGTCGCATTACTATCAGTATTGCTGCTACGAATGCTTTTGCTGTTAGAATCATCGCAGTTTCGTTATTGTCGTGATGGCTACCGTTATTGTTTTCATTGCTCTCACTGTTCGTGTTGTTATTATATTGTTACTATAATGGCCATTATGGTTTTCAAGCTCGTATGATCATTCCGATTCCTATTCTTGTCAGTGCTATTTACCCAGCACTTATTGATATTACTATCATTATTTTGAGCTTTGTAGGGCAGGTCCCTTTAGGGGTCAGGGGTATTTCGGCGTTTCAGGTTCAGAACTAAAGAAAAACTTGGAAGTCAGATCCCAGGCTCCTCTTGACCGGAAAAGGCCGAGTGCTCCAAGTGTAAAGCAAGGAAGTGCAAGGACCTGACTCTGAATTTCAGCTCCAACCCGTAATTACGCTCTGATCCCCATATCCTGCCATAGAATCCTACTTTTCTCAACCCCCTCCCCGACCAGACTATGCCAAGAGGCAAGCCATGTTGGGAAGGTTTACGCGAGCGCGAGTCCCTAGCAGAATGCTGCTCGCTTTCTTCTGTGACCAGAGCTTTTTTGCGGCTGATGTGTTTTCACGATTGTTGCGTTGCCTGCCTCATTCCAGGAGCGGTTATCTTGTCTACTGCGATGCTACTGCTGTTTTCCCGCCCCTCTAACGTCTCACCTCGAACAATTAAAGGCCCTAAACCCTAAACCCTAGGGGTTTAGGGTTACCTCGTGAGAAGATTCTAGACAGCTTTACGTGACAAAATGCTGTCAGGCCGCGGCTGAGTTCTCCTCCATCCATGTCATCCAGACATCAGGCAGCTTTTTGAGGAAGGGCCTTACTAGTTACCTATACTGTTTCGGGGGGTTCCTTATTACAATTATAGTCGTATAGCGGGCCCCAAAACCTTATTCGAATTATTAAGGCCCCTATCTTAGAGGAAGGTTTTGCTTGCGTGCCTCTCTTCGTTATGATCATCGTGATGTCCCCTTCAACAGTGCCGAGCTGCTGCGAGTCTTCGCCACAATCCATATCACTGACATCTGCTGGCAAGATCTTTGGGCTAGGTTCCGTGTCGTAGGGGCCGTGCAGAAATCCCAGGGACGTTCTGCAGCGGCACGAGACCGGCTAAGAAGACCTAACCTTGAACCCTAGCTACAGCCTACTCACTCAAATCCGATCCCTGAGCCCCACCCTAAACCCTGAACCCCTAAACCCCTAAACCCCTAAACCGTAAACCCCTAAACCCCGAGACCTGTGAGTGCTGAAACCCCGAGACCTCAGCGAATCGGAAAAGGGACGTTAGCAAAAGAAACCCTAAACCCCTGAGCCCCTAACCCCTAACCCCTACACCCTAACCCCGTGGGGTCCAGGGAAAGCCCTGCTCAGCGGAGGCGTCGCCGCCCGGATTGGGGCCGCGCAAGTGAAGAACTCGGCCGCGAAGATCGGGAGCTGTGGCCAAAACGGGTTACTAGGGTTTTTTAAAGGGTTCTTTTAAAGAGTCTATAAGGGTTGCTACAAGGGCTACTACAAGGGTTTAGTATATGGGCCTTAATAACTACCTTAGGCTATTTTGGGGGGTTCCTTATCATAATTATAGTATAATGGGCCCCCAAAATCCTATTCTAATTATGAAGGCCCCTGTAGTACAGCTTTATCTTTTGCATTTCGAGATTTGTGGGCGGTGCAGTTGGGCCCTGTGGTTCCGGACGAGGATCCTTATCCTCCTGACATGAGACCTGAACACTTACCTATGCTATTTTGGGGGCTCCTGTTTAAAGTATACTGGGTCCCAAAACCCTATTCTATTTATTAAGGCCCCTACATTAGTCGGGTTTCAGGATTCCAAGCTTGACCGAGCTGCGGCGAGCTGCTGAGGAAACCCTGTGTCGTGCATGACTGGCCGGCAATTCCCGTTGATGATGCCAAAGCTGAATATGACGAGCCTTGTCTCAGGAGCCAAAGCCTTATGGTTTTTGTTTAGGTCCTTGTCTGGGTCCCTATGACAGGGGTTTGGCACCAAGACGAGTACCGAGCGAGCTGGTGCTACTGAATTGCTGTTTGTGTGAAGGCAAACGGAAACGGGTTCGCCAAGAGTTCAAGGCCCCAGTTTGTTTCGAGAAATGCCTGGGTGCAAATGAGACTTGACACGACCCTTACGAGCCCGAAGCATCCAGGTCCTGTCGTTGTCGTAGTAGGAGCGAGCCCTGCTGATCCAGCCTACCGAAAGGCGCTGTACAACGTGGGCAGCGACCTTATTCTCCAGGCCAGAGAGTGTAGTAGTCACCGCTCACCGTGCCTGGGTCTTCGAGGGACTGACTTCAGCTCAACCCTAAACCCTATAAACCCTCGAAGATTTGGAAGATGAGTCTTTGCCACCCAACCTTAAGCTCTGCAGCTGCCCTGACTCTAAACCGGCTCCGGCTAGCAGATTACAAGATGCTCTGGCCTCTGTGCCTAGACCACAACCAATGGGATGCCAACAAATCACCCGAACCCAGCCACTCCAGAGCCCTGTGGCCTCTTGAGGGCGCCAACCGGGCGACTCTGCTGGTTTTCGTCGGAACGGGAGAGCCTGGTGAGATGGCGACCCGTCTGCAGGGAAGGGGTGAGCCCAGGAGACGGCTTAGAGGCCTACAGCAAACCCCATAAAGTTGGAAGCCGGATTAAGGCCAAACAGTGCTGGGATTCTCTATGCATTACTCTTAAGGCCTGATGATATTGGGTTTCCAATTTTTGGGCTTCTACTATAGAGCTTCATCTAGAACTTTAGGCTTGCGGGTTCGGGAGGTACAGTAGGGATTTTGTCTCGGGTTTAAGGTTTCGGGGAGTCCCTGAAGCTGTACCCTGCATAGCTCGATAACCCAGCCCGGCTTTCGCTTGAGGGTGTTACTTTTTCGGGATTCTCGGAGTGTTTTGTTGGGAGACAGGGGCTTGAGTTAGTGGGAGCCTCATAGTTCAGCATTTGGGAGCTGCCGAAAATTAGGGGTACCTTATTTTGGGGTCCTTGTAATAAGGATCCTACTACTTAGGGTACTACATTAGGGTCCTCTATTATCGGAAACTCCCATTTCAAGAGGGGATGTGACAAAGCCTTGGTCATGAAATTGCGGTGGTGGTGCATGCCTGTAAGGAGCAATCCCGTCCAGGGTTTGCAGGAAAGCATGCGCGACAGGGCCCCTCCTGGAGGTCCAGGTGGTGGCATCCAAAGGATACTATAATCAAGCTAAGCAAAGTTTTGATCCACTACCGTGCGAGGAGTACAGCTACTTTCACCAACCTTTCTTATCTGAAGTCTTCCAAATAAGGCGCTGGCGGTCATCTTGGCGATGTGCCTCGGAGAGCATGCGTTGATAGAGACTGATCGGATGTCAGTGGCCGTCACGTTTGTATCGTGTCTGTTCTCGCTCTGTCGTCAGTTACTATACAGCAGCAATTCTTGCAAATGCTGGCTCCGAGCTGAGCACGGGATACCCGTGGATGCGATTGCTAATATCTCATCTCATCTCATCTTCAGTAACGAGTCATAAAGGCAATCATGCTGCAAGCGGTAGCTGCCTTACTCACGTTCACTGGTTCCTGCTGCAGACTCCACAGGTTGCCCTTCCGCCGGGGCCCCGGTCGGAGAGCGGCAGCGCACCGGGTTGGGAAAGCAGGTTGAGCCTTATCTGGTTTTCGGATTTGAGGTGCTAGGTTGAGGGGTGAGGCTTTGACGCCGGGGGCCCAAGCGAAGTTGAAAGCCTTTCGGTGTTAGGTGGAATTCAGCTGGCGTATGTCACTCCCGCAGAGGACCTGCAGCTTCTGCGTGAAGGCTGTTCCTTTCCGCCTCTTTTTTCTGTGTGCTCCAGGACTACGAGAACCCCCTGCAGACCCTCCGGTCTCCGTCGGGAGTTTTCGAGTACACCGCGACACAGCCGGAAAGAATGGGCAGGGTGTCCCTTGCGGCCATCTTCGGTGTGAGCCCCAGCATCCCACCATGCCTGGCAGACATTAGAATCAGAATTTCGTCTTAGCTCAAGGGAAAGCCTTGTGAGCCCTGGCTGCCTTCACTGTCCTTGCCTGTAGATGCAGGTTAGGGTTTCAAAGTACCACATTTCATGAAAGGTTCAAGTTCAAGCCCAGCAAACGGCAGTCCACCCACACTCAGAGGCTCCATGCGGTTCCCAACCCGAACGCTCAAGCCTACGGCCCTCAACCCCAAAGCCCGAAACCACTAGCCCTATACCCCTACCGCTCAAACACCCGAAGCTCGACAATCCCAATTAAAACCCTAACACCACCCCCCGATATCCCCGATGATTCCCAAGGTCCACTGGCCCCGCGAACCTTCAAGGAGCCCCTGTCGACGTGGTCGCCTCTCCGCCCTCGCCCAAGCTCCGAAGAAGGTAAGTGAAGGTTTCTTTAAAGAGTTTTGGGCTCAGAAGTTAGGGGTCGTGAGGTCTTGGTACTTAAGGCTTGCACCAGGGATTGGCGAGCTTTCGTGAAGGCTCCCAGTTTCCGGTTCTAGAGCGCTGTAGAATATCCGGGTGGCCTGAATTTTGTTTAGCTTTTTCACATTGCCTTCAAGCACGCTCTGAATCATCAGCAACTCCGGGCCTCGGAACTCTGAGCTTTGCTCCCAGAGCCCTACACCCTCCACCCGAAGCCCTTGATCCCCGCGCTCGTGAACTCTGTTGGATCGCTGAGGCCCAGAGAGCCATCCCGAAGAGCAGCCGGCGCCCTTCAAGATCGGCGGATTGGATCTCCCAATGGCCGCTTCGCCCCGTGAAGTGTTGGAGTGTGAGGGTGTGGAGTTTCGGAGGCTTCGGGTTGGGATTCGCGTGAATCTTAAACTTAACAGCTCAGAGAAACCCCTCGCAGCCTTCCGCTGCCCTCACCAATTCCCTGTGATTAAGAAACCCTGGGCCTATAACCCCCAGATAGGAGGGTTCATATAAAGAACCCTAATAAACGCCCAAGGTTTCTTAATCAGGTTCCTACCTTACCAGGTCACCTTCGAGGGCGACTATTACAAGGGTGTCGATCGCCTGGCCGCTCTCCTCGTTGGTCACTACGGCAGCGAGATCTACCCCGTGGTTTCCGTCGGTGCCTGGTATGGCACTTGGGTTTAGGGTTAGATGGGCCTTTGGCTCGAGAGGTGCGGATCATGGCAGAGATCGACTGAATCTGTACCTTAATGGCTTCAGGGCTTCCGTGACTGGCATTCGTTGTAGCGCAAATCCGCTCTCTGCTACCAGATCTTCGCATCAGGTGAGACTGGTGATGCTCTTGGTTACGGCTGGGGCCTCAGCAGTATCAGCGCTAGCACGTTCCGAAGCAAGCGATGCTTCCCACTGCTGCATCCATCCGTCCCTCCCTCCCTCCAGCCATCCATCCCACCTGGGTTCGCTCTACCTCTACCAAAGCCTTCGCCTGGGCATCTGAGGCGACGACTTGCTCGGCGCTCTCGCTGAGCTGGACAGCCATGAGCTTTTGTGGAGATAGATCAGAGTTCCGGGCCCCGTCACAAGTACCTTGATGATTGTCATTTCCAACTTCAACCTTGCCTGCAAGAGCCCTGGGAAGTTGTCATTCTTTCTGGCAGCCGTTGCTTTGGACAGGTTGGGTCGGGTAATTGGTTGCGCAGCTTCGGGTCAGACTTCCAGCTGCTCCAAAAAAACCTTGAACCATGGTTCATGGGTAGTTGCAAGTGGGGTTATAAGTCCCCTAATATGGGTTGTAAGTATATTTTCCCTACTTATAATCCCAGTTATAGCTACCCATGGACCTCCAAGTACTGATTCCTAAACCCCCAAAGGAACAGGCCGTGGACTCCGGCATCGACAATACAGGGCCGCATTATCACGACCGGGTAGAAGAGCAGCTTAGGGACCTTAAATTATTGCCAATACTTTTCTTTGGTTCCTTAGTATAGCTCTCGTGAAAATTTACCCCAGGACCTTATTCTAACTTACTCTTGTCCCTTTGGGAGGACTGCCCCGGCTTCTACTTCCCTCATGCGTCGGGAGAGACCTGCAAGAGCCCGGAGGCGGTCAAATATAGGGGCCTTTACGAGTGGAAGAGGGTTTTGGGGTAGATTCTAGAAGAAGTTTATCAAGGAACCGTAAGGACTTCGTTTGACAAGTTTTGGGGCATCTGTTGGGGTTTGGGCTTCCGGGTCGTGGTTTTTAGTTTGAGTTTGGGGTCTGACTGTCTCGTGGCCTGGCTGCTTCTCGATTTTCAGGGTTTAGGGTTTAGGTTTAGGGTTTGGCACCCTGGGGGGTTATACAGTGTTAAGGGGTCTACAAGAGTTACTATAAGGGATCTATAAGGGTTACTATAAGGGATTACAGGGCTTGACCTGGCGAAGGGCCGGGTGTAAAATGCAGAGTTTCATTGGGATGATGCTTGAGGGTTTCAGGACTTGTATAGCGCATGTTTAGTTGATTAACGAGTTCTGAGTGGGTATTCTTTACGATTTCTGGGCCAGTATCTTCCCTTATAAAACTGAAAGTTTACGTTTTTTTGGGGCATGCTTGCACTCATCAATTATAAGTTTACGGTTGGTGGGTTTACGGCGTAGTACGGGCTTAGTTTTCGAGGGCTCCAACATGATCCTCAGACGTGGGGTGTTTACCAGCCTTCGGCCACCGGGTGTGGACTCGCCTACCGCTGTCGAACTTGAAATCCCAAAGCCTCGAACCAGAAGCCCTAAACCTTGAACTTGTTGGTAATCTTCAGATTGATGGATGCGTCATGAACACTAGTGTAGGGACGTCTCACTCAACAGACTGCGAAACAGGTGCCTCGCCTGGATTGTCCGAGTGTGAGCGCCGAAACCCTTACCTTTGGTTAGTAGGGAATGGAGGAATGGGGTACAATTATGACTACTATTACTACAATTCTTCCATTCCCTAGTAACCAAAGGTAAGAACCTTGAACTGTCCATGGGTGGTTGTCAAAATTAGGGTCCCTTTTTGGGGTCCTTATTATAATACGGCACCAAATATGTAGGGTGCCCAAAAAGGGACCATAATTTTGACAACCACCCCAATGCATTGGTTTGTTGATGGTGGCCGGGCTCTGCAGGCTTACGGCAAGGTAGAGCTGCTGAAGGCACGTCCTGCCGGATGATGAGTTCGTAACGGTCTTTTGTTCCAGGGCTTCGGAGTTAAACAAACTAATTTGGGGGTCGGGGATAATGCCTCATCAAGCTGAATCAATCCTGAAATGTGGAAGTCTTCATGAGCTGACATCCGTACAAAGAGCATCTCAATTCCAGCTATAGTGATACTCATCGTAAGCATGAGCTAACGAGGCGTGAAAGTTACAACTACGATACCTGGTACTCATGAGCAGCATGGTAGTCTGTGGCCATGTTCCATGATGGCTGTTTGAAAGAGGCTTGCAACTCCCCACGCAATCTAAGCAGCAGACGATACACTGGAGCAGTCTTATTTGCCGCGACGGTGCTGCAAGGCCATCGGTGCTGCCAAGCAGAGCAACAAGAAAGTCGTGGTCATTGCTGTGGCTCGCCCGTTTCAGTGCCTGCCTGCATCAGATTTAGCCTGAGAAGCTCGCGCAACTACAGCTATTCCCGACAGACACGGAATGTTGTTAAACCATGAAGTGGACAGGGGAGTACAGGCATAGATGCTAGATAGATCCAGCTCATGGATGCACGCATTAATGTTTACGGATGTAAACTAGTGCCACTGACGTGCGAAGTGCCTTTGTAGCGTTTTCATTTTCCTGCAAAGGTCAGCGCTTCTTCGAAAAAACTAGCTTGTTCAGGTCCCGTGCAAGTAAGTTTCGTCTCGTGGAACGTAGCCCAAGCCTTTGCAGCATTATCAGTTTGCAATCCTGCTTCAGGTTGTGCACGACCATGCGGCAGATAAGAATTTTTGTGCGATAAGCCTGAGCCGCTGCATCTAATGAGGTGGGAGGTGGCGTGAATGGCAACGCGACTGGCATGATTGCCGCAGCCGGGCCTGCAAGAGCCAAAAGCTGTCATGCTGTCTCCGCCATGGGCGCTCTTGTGAAACCCAGTGATCTTTGTAAAGATCGCACGATCTGCATTGCGCAGCTTTACACCGGAGAGTGTGCAACACACAGACGCGGCAATGCTGTAACGAGTGTGCAGTATATCTTTTACTGTACATCTCATTCTGATACCAGGGTAGATGACAGTTTGCAGACTTGAGCGTTTTCTGGGCGTACGGCTTTGGAAGTGGATTGTCCGATCACTTCGGAACAGGGTTGCATATGTCTGTGTGTTTAGGTAACCTTCGGAGATTCCAGACCGGCCTTAGTGCTCAGGCCATGACCGGATCGGTCTTCGTCGAGGTTCCGACGACGCTGATGCACTACAACGATGCCACGACCTCCGCGAAGAAGGCTTTTAGCCGCTCGGTGGAGGAGTCAACCGAAGTTTTCCTGTAAGATTGTAGTCGCAACCAATGATCACAAACAATGTCCCGTCCTTCGTTGGCCTTGGTCTTTGTATCCCTGTTGCTTTTCACTCTATCTTGCTTTTGAGTATGCCCGTGGAGTATTCTGCACATGGCACGGGCATCTAACGACCTCCGTTCCACTAGTATTTATTATGTGGTGCTGTTTGCACAGTTTCTCATGGTTGTCTATGTTATGTTGAGGAGGTTTTGCATATCAGCCTGAGATACCTTTTCGTCTTCTTGCGTCCACAGGCCTCGAAAAGCTTATTACTAAATTATTACTATTACTACTGCTATTATTTCTATTATTACTATTATTACTTACTATTATTACGATTATTACTATGATTATATACTATTATTATGACTATTATTACTAGGCTTCTCTGCATCCCAGAGTCGAACCCCAGCATCGATGGACGGATCCCACAAAGAGGATATGGATTTGTCAGAAACTGCTTTCCCATAGGCTCCATAGTAGTTGCTTGTTGGGAGTACCTTGTAGGATTCTTCATGGGAGGTTCCGAAAGTAGGGGACCCTATGAAAGGAACCTTAATAGTAGGAGCCTTATTACAAGGACCCCAACATAAGGTAACCCCTAATTTTCGGAAACTCCCAAATAGTCCCCAAAAGGAACTAATATCAAGCCTGTGGGTAATTTCTCCTTTTTACGGTAGAAAGAAGAACAGAGCACAAGCTCCTTCAAACGCCAAGGCCTGGTCGTGAACGGACAGACACCTGGATGCAAGACTCTGGGCTTCGGAGGTCGGGTTCCCCCGTTTCTTCTCCTTACTCCTTCCGTCCTTGCAAGGGGTTTAGGGTTTAGGGTTTAGGGTTTATAGTGCTCTTTGTGACTTTCTGATAGTGACTGCTGCCCTCGATTCCCTTGGAGCTACTGCAAAGCAGCGTGCGAGACAGCCGCCTAATCCCCAGATCCCCAACAGAAGCCCGGGATGTAGGAATGCAGGATCTAGGGTGGGTTTGGGTTGTAGCGTGTTTATTCTTGGGCGTGCAGATGCCGAGATGACCGTATAACCGACACCGAAGATTCCGGCGGCAGTATTCATCTGTGGCAAATGTGCAATGGTACGTCGTGCGCCGAGGATCCTTTCGAAGAACATCTTGGGGACCTTCTACCTCCCCCAGCTGGTCTTTTGCATCAGCGAGACCTTCCTGACCCTGTTCCTTGGGCTCAGCAGTTCTATTTCAAGCTTTGACCTGGGAGTCGTCGATCAACAGTAACTGGTGTTGTTGTCCTTATTATTATTGCAGCTGCAGGAGCAGTACACAAGACCGTACTCCAATATTTGGAAGCCGAACATAGCGCCCCAAGCCTTGTCCAGTGATGTCACCCGACACAACTTCGGCTGGCAAAACGGCTTCACTGGATCGGATGTCCATCGGTCGCCGCAGCAGAGCAGGTCTCACACTTCTGATCGCGAAAACAGCAAATAAAGAAGTAAGATGAATGCCCCTTTGGAATATGACCCTAGCCCCTCTGCCCTTCTTCCGAACGGGTATCACAGCTAGAAGCACGGGCAACATGCTCCATTGCTCGGGTTTCTATCCTCTTAAAAACCCTTCGGACTGCTTGAGAGCGAGCACGCAGGTTTGGGTGCTGATTCAGCAGCCCCTGTGTGGGTTTCACAAAAGGAAAGAGAGTTGTGTGGTTTTGTAGTGCTAACCGGCATGATCACTTTCAGAAAGGATTCAGCGCGGCTGCTAATTGTTTGGATGTAATTGTCAGCGTGTATCTTGGTGCCCTGAACCCCAAACTTGTTCCTGATCGCCGAAGTCCGAACCTAAGCTCTGCGCCTCAAGATAGCGAGGTCCAAGTGCAGCGTGCACGCTGCTGTGGGTGAGGCCTGCAAGACGCAGCTTGGCTGAATCCTTCGTCGGGCAGAGGGGATTGTGGCTTGCGATCGCAACTTGCAGGGTTCGGTTCTACGGGTTGGCGTTTGGGGTCGGAGCCGCAAGACCCTCCGAGGACTCGTTTGACACCGAATCGAGACCCAAATCTCAAATCGGAAGCCGCAAGATCGAGTCCTAAACTAAAACCCCAACGCTCTAAAGCAGACCCTCAGCATTCGCTCTAGAGCCGGGTTCCGACACTCAACTGCACAAACCGCGAATCCATGATCCTCGGCCCCAACATGTCTGAGCACAGATTCAGCAATGTCTCAATGACAGCAGCAGCTCACTAGCAGTGACGACAACGACTTGGGGTTGAGCGCGCAGTCCCATGAAGCCAAAGATCTTGGCGGCTTCTTCTTGCTTCGAGGTTCATGGCTAGTGATAAGTAGGGCTATCAGCAGGATGGATATGGTTACAACCATGTAATGTAGGGACCTGATTTAGAAACTTTGGGCCTTTATTAGGGTGCCTTACATGAACCCTATTATTTTGGAGGTTATAGGCCCAGGGTTTCTTAATCAGGTTCCACATTACTATAGTAGCCTCATAGATCCCTTATAGATCCCTTATAGTAACCCCTTATAGACCCCTTTAAAGGAGCCCTAGTATAACCCCCGGACCCCACTTAGACCTACCCATGGATCTCCAAGAGAGGATGGGAATGCTCGGCATCGCCAACTCGAAGACCGGCCAGGAGGACCTGAGGGCTTTAGCGCTTTGGGCTTAGGGCCTTTAGAGGGGTTAGGGTTTAGGAGTTAGGGTTTAGGGGTTAGGGTTTAGGGTTTCGGGTTTAGGGGTTAAGGTTTAGGGTTTAGGGATTAGGGTTTAGGGTTTAGAGTTTAGGGTTGGCCAAAGGTGTAAGGTTTCTGGTTTGGGGTTCGGTGTTTGAGGGTTTAGGGGTTGGGGGTTAGGACCGGATCATCTTTATCTCTTGAAGATGAAAATCGTGGCGAATGTGTTTTGGGAGCGGCCCGAGACAGTCCACTGCTACCGTGAGCATTGCCTGCGTGGCAATGCTCCTGATGGCGATGGTGATGATAACAACGGCGAGGATGGTGATTGCGATTTCTGCGCTACTGACGACTCGTAGGATTGCAACTGTCAGTCCTTGCTCCCTTCCAAAAAGATTGCTGGCACACCAGGACTGGCACAACATCCTGGGCGGTGTGGAGCCACTTGGGCCTTGCAAGAGATTGTGGTGTTTTCGAGCCTGTTGCCTCTCAGAAACCCGTGCCCCTCTCGCACCTGAAACACGTGCCATGCGGGATCGGGATCCATGGGTGGGCTCTTAACTTAAAGCCCTGTCTTGGGTTTCAGTGTTGGTTCAGGAGCTGTTGGCTTCTTTGCTATTAAAGTTGCGCTTATCCCTAGCAAATGACCAGGGGCACGGAGAGTGCAGCGCAAGCGACCCGAAGCCTTCGACTCTGAACCCCAGGACCCTACTGCATCCGGGGTTTAGGGTTCGGGGGTCAGGGGTTTAGGGCTGGGCTTGGGGGTTTCGGAATCTATGGTTTGGGGGGTCTCTTTTTGTGGGCCGAGATGAAACCCCTCCGATAATATTCCTGACAGCCCGATTGGAATCTCAAACCTAAGCCGATCCCCCCAACGCCAACAAGCATCGAACTCTAAACCCTAAAAACCCTAAACCTCTGGACCAGTGGTGAACGGAAAAAGGTCTTCCAAAAAAAATCCAAAAACCCAATACCCTGAACCCTAAGCCCTTAACCCGAAACTCCTTACTGAGGCTCTCCAGACCTAGCGGATGGAAAAAGGCTCTCAAAAACAAAACTCTTTACTGAAGCCCGACACAGAGAAACTCCGAAGCGCCGACTGCTCTCGAAGCAAAGGTTCGCCAGCGACTTCACGAAGATCATTGAAACCGTTGGAGGCTCCAGGGTTTTGCGTCACGGAGGTTTCGGAGTTTGGGTTTTGGGGGCTCCGGGCTTGGGGCTCCGGGTGGTTCAGTGCAGACACGTCGTGCCTCTGAATGCTCCTTTGGCTTATAAAGCAGCTGACAAGCGGGCAGGTCGCTGTGCAACTGCCCAGGAGTCCAAGGCATAAAGTCAACATCTGCACCAGGTGCCAGATTAAAAGGGTCTTGTGCCATGCGTTTTTGTTGCGCTCAGCCCCAGGCGAAATGAATGGTAGAGACATCACTGCAAGCGCACTCTAGTCTGACATGATCTAGGCAGCTCTTATTTCCTGACTCACGCTTTTCTGCATGATGGTCACGCAGACCAAGTTCAATTCATTGATCGGTTTCCTCCGGATCGGCGACATTGTGGGGCTACAGAAGTTCATCCCGGCCGACTTCGAATGGTCTCAGAAGGGAGGGCCCGAAGACGTGACGCTGCTGCATTATGCAGTTCTCTGCCTTGGTGAAGACAACCCTGGTGAGAAACATCTGAAGCTGGTTGGTCCTTTGGGATCTTTTTCAAATTTTACTATTTTGTAGAGAACCATAATAGTACAATGTCTTCTACTATTTTGTAGAGAACCATAATAGTAAGATTTACCCTGGCCCTCTATTTTGTAGAGAATCATAATAATAGATTATTTTCAAAGGGCTTAGAGGACAACTCAGGAAGACCATGGAGTGGATGCTGCGTTCTGGGGCAGATCCAGAGCACGAGCTGCCGCAAAAACACCCCCAGTGCTATCTGATTCTGGGCCTACCTTTGGTTGTAAAGGGGTCTATAAGGGATACTATATGGGATCTATAAGGGTACTATAATATGGGGGCCTTAATAATCCTATAACTTACCTTTGGTTAGTAGGGAATGGAGGAATGGGGTTTAGGGGTTCGGGTTTAGGGTAGTAGCGTTTTGGGTTTAGGGTAGTAGTAGGGAATGGAGGAATGGGGTACCGTTTCCATTCAATACCAACCAAAGGTAAGTAACTAAGTAGGTGGCGCTTTTGGGAAACTTTTTAAGTTTCCTTTTATGGTTCCTATAGAGGTACCTTTCATAAATACGTTTGTATAAGGGCCCGGAACTACAACCCAGGATTTGGAAGAAGAAGAACAAGAGAGGCACGACAATTGAGATTCCCTACGCTGGACACTCGGCCACATCACTGGCCTTCGCTTGGCTTGATGCTCTGGAGATTAGCGAAGAGGAATGGACCGTCGAGCGCGAGTATTTGAAGAACGTTGTGGCGCTAATTGCGAGGATTCCCTCCCTGCACCGCAAGAAGGTCGCAGTCGCCGAGGGTGTAGTTGATTTATGGGAATCAGTCCTGAACATGTCTACTACGCACAATGTGACGCTGGAGACTGCTGATGGTAACGTGACGGCGCACGATCACGTTCTGATGGCTGCCTCCCCCGTCTTGGAAGCCATGCTGCAGTCGGCGATGAAGCTTGGAAGTTGTATGTCACAGTGTACTTCGCAAAATCTCTCAAATTAGATCTCGCCTTTGTCAAGGTTTGGTCTTGAGGTGCGGCAAGGGATGGGGAGGGCAGGGGGCGAGTTAAAGTTATCGTCGCCTGCGTCTGCCCATTTATCGACACATCTGTTAGTCGGTGTTGCAGAAGTGCAAACCTGATTTTGATTCTACTTGGGAGTTTCCGAAAATGGGGGACCCTTATCTAGTACCCTAACTAAATAGTCGGATCCTGATTATAATCGGCGTTTGATACTGTAGCTCGAGACCGCATCTCGCATCTCGGGTGTCCACTAGTGAGGCTGCCATGGCTGCCAGCCCCCTCAGCTAACGCCGGTTCTGTTCGATTTGCAACATGAGATTATTTAAGCCCCTAGATGAGCCCCGAAGAACGAACAAAACCACACCAAATGTATTAAGATTATGACTGTTATCATGATTTATGTTCCACCTCCAAATTGCTATTTGCAGAGGCCCAAGAGCCATGGCGGGGCTGAGCTGTGCAGTTCAAGCTGTGGTCACGGGGCTGCTGTTTTACCTCCATCTATATAGGACCAGCTAAGGAAGGAGGGCGTCCACAAGCACATCTCAGTCACAGACTCCTCGGGGACCAGCGTTGCCCTTTTCCTGGAGGTGCTGTACACCAGTTCGATGAGAGGCAGCCCCAGTCATTTGACCATGTTGGCTGCCCTAGACCTCGCACATCGCTGGCAAGTGACCACTGTCGTCCAACAGCTCGCTGATGTTCTGCTGGAAATGATCACTGTCGAAAGTTTCGTGGCCATTGCCGCAGCTGCTGTGCTGAAGGGGCTCAGCTCTTTGACCCGAGCCTGCAGCGTTTTCGGTGCAAAGAATCCGCAAGTCCAAGCCATGTTGAAGAAGGGATCGCTTCCTACTGCTGTACGCACACTGCTCCAGCCAGATGCGGCAAAATCGTCAGACGCAGCCAAGAAGAAGCGGCGCACTGTTTAACTTGAGGAGCTGGCGAAGCCTTATGAGTGGTCTGCACAAGCTTTTCGCAGAAGGGCATCAATTCTTGAGGCTTGACAGTGGCAAAGGCTCGCTGTGGCCTGTCGTTTTTTGCTTCTAGATGCTCGTTTTCCGGGATAGTCACCTTAAGCCTTCCACCTTCGATAAAGCTGCCGGCTGCTGCACTGCTGACGATGGCACCTTCCAGATGCTCAGCGGTAGCCTGGGGAGCACTGCCGAGACAGCGGCGACGGCAGGCAACGTATGAGAAGAGCTGGAGCTGCGACTTGTGCACCAGCTTGGCCCAGGCTTGCTCCTCTAATTCAAAGATGTGCCGACTAATTAGTTACCAGCCGCGTTGCGTGGTTGCAGTGGTTTCTGCCAGCATCCGGCGGCCCACGGTTCGAAAGCCCTAAACAGCATCCGGATTTGGGAAGAACCAGGCATATCCGCCCTCGAAATTAGGTGCCGAAAGGTCTGGGGGTGAAGGGTGGCCCATGAGGATTCCCCGGTTTAGGATGTTGGGGTCTAAGGGCTGGCATCCCAAACCCGACAAACTCTACTGTAAAGCAGGACCTACTTGAGGCCCTTTGAGTTGAAGCTTGAGGACAACTAGGACAACAGTTTTCGCTACTTAAAGCATGCAGCAATTTGACGTTTCGATTCGAGTATAGGGGAGTATAGGGCTGGGAGACTTGCCACATCCACCGATGGCAGTGCAATTTACCCTACTCCCTCTCTCTCACATGCATACGCGCTTAGTCGTTAGATATCAGGTGCGTAATCGGCTTAGGCCTGGGCCTTTAATTCGGGCAGCCGGGCCTGCTAAGACCACTGGACACCACGACGGCAAGACACTGGGACCAACACAGATCAGAGGCTTCGCCGACTTCAGTGCTGAATTGGAATCCGGAACATGCAATGACGGCAGCAACGAGGCAGAGAGAAAGAAAAAGCAGTTGCATCCATGATCTTCAAGTGGGAGACCGGAAGAGGGGTCACTGCACTGGCAGGAAGATGAGGACGTGCTCAGTGCAATGAGGGCCGTCATGCAGGGGCCTTTGTAATTAGATCTGGCTTTTGGGGGGGTATACTAAATCAATCTATCCTTATCGGGATAGTATGAGCAAGTCTTCAGATCCCTAAATCCTAAACCCTAAAGAGGGTTCAAAAAAACCTAAAGCCTTCAACCCTAAGCTGCTTGGTAGCTGCCAGGTTTCGAGAGGCTCATTCAGTTCCTTCAGAGCACGCGGGAGTTGAAGGCCAAGGCTCTAGCCTTGGGCGAGGACCGGGCCGATTTTTGATTTGTTTCGGGTTTAGGGCTTAGGAGTTCCCGAAAATAGGGGATAATAGCTCTCCTTCTAAAGGGATCTATAAGGGTTCCTTTAAGGGTTCCTATAAGGGATCTATTGGGTTTAGGGCTTAGGGTTTAGGGACTTGTGGCCACATGCCATTGCTCTTCGAGGGAGGACTTCGACATCTTGCAATGTCAGTATAGTGCACGGGCGAACTGCCGTAAACGCTGTACCCAGCGCCCAGTAATTCACTTTATATGTGGCGTGGTAGAACACAAACCTTCGACATGCAGGTTGCAGGTTTTGGCGGTTTGTCCGAGGCAGAAGCGACCCGTCCGCAAGAACCCTTCCGCGGCCCAATACTTCATTCGTTGGTTCTTGTGCCGGGACGTTTCCCAAGTTGTTCCTACCTTCCTTGTCATTGCGACTTGTTCCAACACCAGCCCCTACCTTAACCCTGAATAACCTGCCCATTTCGGCTTGCTTATGATGAATTCCTAAGACAACACCTTTCTAAAGGCAGGGTTTTGCCGGGTTAAGGTAAATCCTGAACTCGGACCACCCTCCAGAGCTGCGAGGAGTTGAGTGCCATGCGTATGGAGCGGGTCTCCTATGGGCAGATGGCCAACGTCGCGAAGCACCGAGCCGCCTGGCTCGCAGGGCCATCGGTTTTTGTGGGTTTTAAAGGGGTCTGAAAAATTAGGAATAATGCGCACATCGTATAGTCCCGGTAGTAGCAGAACATGAGGGAAAATACTGAGGGCTTTAGGGAGGCAGGGCGACCTCTTGTATGTATACACGTCTGTGTGTGTATCAGCAAAGACCCATATGGGAGTGTCCGAAAATAGGGGACCCTAGTATAGTACATAGTAGGACCCTTATTACAAGGACCCCAAAATAAGGTACCCTAATTTTCCGAAAACTCCCATATTAATGGTTGAACCTCGACGTTTACTGAAGGGATCTGGGTTTCCAAGGCAAGGTTTCGGTAGACCCGAAACTCCGTAATCTGGCATCTAGCAAGCTTTTTCTGACGTCTACAGCACGAATCCTGCCGTTCCTCCATCCTATGTGCTGTAAGCATGGAGCATGTGCCCAGTCCTGAATCCTAAGTCCTGAAGTACTAAACCCTAAATCCTAAACCCCAGACCCTCAACCCAAAGCCCTATACGCCCTACACCCTGAACCGTCTAACCCCCGAAACCCTTGGCGCAGAAAGCCCTGAGCCGACTCCGAGGAGAAGCGCCTGACGGAGCTGCGCCGCTTCTTCCACGGCACCCCGGGCCTGGCAAGACTACTCTCACATGGGTGGTTGTCAAAATTAGGGGTCCGTTTTTGGGTAGCCTAAATATGAGGTGCCGTACTATATTAGGGAACCCCAAAAAGGGACCATAATTTTGAAAACCGCCTGCATATCTCTCGTTACTACGGGGCCTTCTTCGGACCTGGTCGGATTTTAAAAGGGGTTTCAGACGGTTTCGTGAGGCTTTGTGTAGGGTCCCAACGGTTGTTTTTGAAGAAGCGGTTTCTGTGGCGGCCCCACCAACTAGGCCAGTTTTTCTGGGGGATCTACTTTAAAAAGAGAGCTCGTCTATCCACGTCTGTTGCAAGGCGATCTCTCGCCGGAGGATCGTGCGGAGGTCATCAAGTTCCTTACCGCAGCTCGGGCTGAGATCCTTTTCCCAGCAGTGTTAACATGGGAGTTTCCGAATATGGGGGGGGGGGCCCTAAATATGGCACCCTAAATAGCACGATCCTTCTTATAAGGACCCCCAAAATGAGGTACCCCTAATTGTAACAGAAGAGAGTTTAGGGTTTGGGGGTTTTAGGGTTTGGGGTTTAAGTTGGAGTGGTGGGAATCTATGGCAATGAGACGGGTACTGGCATGCTATCGTAGCAAAACTTCAAGAGTAGGGGGAACCCTACTGCGGTGCAGTCTAATGTGTTTCTTGCAGGTCTGCATGTATTACCGTGTAGGAGTGCGTTTGCCGGTCGGCCGCAAAAGCCGGAAAATCAGCAACTCTCATTTATAGGGTCAGGGTTCTCAATGCAAGCCTCGCTAAACCCCGAACCCTACGCCCGGGAACCCCTGCACCCCGGTCCTGGGTTTAAAGGTCATCAACACGGAGATCATCGCTGCGAAGGCCATGTTCCTGGCGTATTCCGATCCCTTTGAGAAGTACCGGGCATTGCTTTTTGAGACGCTCGGCCTTGGTGGAAAGCAATGACATTACAGGTTTCCGTCGTAGTAGCAGCACTAGCAACACGAGCAGCAGCAGTAGGTGCAACAGCAGCAGCAGCAGCAGTAGCAAAAGTTTGATACATTTAGTTGCAGTGGTATGCAAGTCGTAGTGCGGCCCCAGGGCTGCCTCCTCCACCATGCGGTTCCATCAACCTGAGCCTCAACACGTAAACCACCTGCAATACCGGAAAGGCCGGAGAAAGTCGTCCATGTCCCACGGGGTCCGAGTAGAGGCGGTATCGGGAGCTTCGATGATGTTTTGTTCGAGCTGTGACGTAGAGTTTTCAGTCCGACTCAAGGTATGCCCACACCCTGGGCCACGGAGTGGAGGCTTGAAGGGAGCCGGGGAGTTCAGGGTTTACGCGTGGGCCCTGTTTTGCGCCCTGTTTTGTTGTTCTTCTGCTAGGTGAGATCATAAGTCGCTGGTTCCCAAAGCTCTTCAAAGCCCTTGCCGGAAGCCTTAGAGGTCATTTTGTTTTTTTAGAGGTCTGTCTTTGATGCCGATGCTTTGGGCTCGGTGCTTCGGCCTGGTCTCTAGAGTCTCTAGAGCTTGAGGGTCTTGTACACACGCCCGAAGTGGAGGGTCAAAGGCCCTTTAAGGAACTTATATGGAGATCCTCCTCCTACCTGGCCAGGCTGGTCGGCTAGGTCTTGCTCTGCTCTTCGTTTGTGGGAGTGCATCGCGCTCCTTCCATGGATTCCTTGCGAGGCTTTCATGAACGGCCTCTACCGCAGAGCAACGGCTTGCGGCCTTGCTGCTTTGCGGCACCCCCGAAAGCCCAGCCAACTTTGTCACTTCTGCTGCTGCTCCGTGATCTCGCGCCATTCTCCCCAGAATAGACCGTCTCCCCATAGGAAACCCTGGTATAAGACCTCCAGGACTACTCGGAAGCTTTCCGACTGCACGGCCTGGCACCAAGTAGCCTCAGCTCGGGCGAGAGGGTTTCTAGCGGCCCAGGCTGCTCTAAGGTCAAGGGGTTTTGGTTTGCTTGGGGTCAGTTTGCAGTAGCATCGACTGACGGATTGGGGTTGGATGGGAGCAAGGTGTAAGGGTCGCAGGGAAGCATCCATTTTCCTCGTGGTCTGCCAGGCTTCGTGCAAATCAAGAGATGACATGAACTACATAATATGTCCATGGTGCACGGACAGCGACATGGATGATGAGGATGGTTCACTTTGTCAATGCGAGAATGATCGAATGATCACGTGCAGATCTACTCCGTACTCCGAGATGAAGATGCTGCAAATTGTGTCGTTCTCCCTTGATGCTTGATGCTGATTGCATCCAGGCTCCCAACTTGAGCTCTTCTGCACATCTGCGCCCTACAAAGGCTTTGTAACCAAGGCATTGCAAAGGCTTTTGTTGAATGCAAATGCTGCAAGTGCCTGAGTCTAACAAAGACACTCCAGGCCCTTCCTGATTCGAAAAACCGTACAATCATAATCCCACTTGTGCCAAAGCTGGTCTTGCTTGAGGTCAGTGCGTCGGCATGGCGGTCCTGTGGGCTGGTGAGATGTCCAAGCAGCAGGCTCCAAGTTACAGTCGTTAGTGCTCGTGTAGAGTGTTTGTGATGAGCATTATCATATGTTATCATCGTCATTAATTATTCTGTCACCAAGGTATGTAGCTTGTTTTTATGGGTTTGTACTTGCTTGTTGTCTCGTCCGGTTGTTACCGCTATGTTTGTGTGCATCACTTGCAGAATCTGCAGCAATGGTCATCCAAGGCCATCTGTTTGAGGAGCCCCGACCCCCCTGAAGCCCAGAATCCAACGCTTAATCAATCCCAAAGCTCCCAGGAACCCCGGAAATTTGAATGTTTTTTGTCCAACCGGCACAAAGGAAGGGATCACAAGGTTCAAGGTCACACGGTTGCACATCGAGGAGCCCACAAAGCCTTCAGCATTTCACCCCAAAATCGTCACTGTCACCACATCGCCTGCCCCATGTGAACACGATATCTGAACCTGCTGCGATGGTAGATCTTAGATAAAAGCTAAGGCATCACTGGTTCCTCTGATGTTTTTTTAAAAGTTCGGGTGGGTCAGGCCTTTAGAGCAGGGCCCTGGCAGGGCCGGCTGCATCTCTGCTGTGGTTTCTGTGGGCAGTTGATGGTGCAATTCAGCTCTTGTTCGCATCTGCGTGGTGAGGGGTTACGGCCTAGTATTACGTTAGATGAACCTTAGGTTCCGATACAGCTGATCATACCGAAGGCTGGCACTTCTAGTATGCTATAACCCTAAACCTCGGTCTCGAATGATCTGAAGACTATGTAGGAATCTGATCAAGAAACCCTGGGCCTGTAACCCCAGAATAGTAGGATTCATATACTGAAACCTAATAAAGACCCTGGGTTTCTTAAGCAGGTTCCTGCATCATGTTCAACCTGAGGCTTGAAAGCCAACAGAAGCTTAGTTCGCGCAAGCATGGTGACCCGGAGCTCCGTTCCTCCACCCTCAGATCCTGGACTCAGAGTCTGTTTTTGTTTTACTACTACTACTACTACTACTACTACTACTACTACTACTACTACTACTACTACTACTGCTACTACTACTACTACTACGACTACGACTACGACTACTACAACTACTATTACTACGACTACTACGACTACTACGACTACTACGGACTACTACGGACTACTACGACTACTACGACTACTCTCCGACTACTGCGACTAGACGACTACTACTACGACTACTACGACTACTACGACGACGACGACGACGACGACGACTACTACTACTACTACTACTACTACTACTATTTCTGTTGTTATTGGTATTATTGGTATTCTTGGTATGAAACTTATTCCAGGGGCTGCGCCCAGGTGCGGGCAGCGCGAGTTGTTGTCAGCGGATGTAGCGGGGGAACGGGAAAGACACGGTCAAAATTTCCAGACGGTGCCGAGACAACGACAGCTCGACACCGGAACAAAAGTGTGACGTAGGCCCGAAGTGCACAACTTATGGGTGATCTTACGCTCTTAGCCCTCGTCGGCCCTCCATGTAGCCCGCATCCGCCCTCCGCCGGACCCCGCTGATGCTGATGATGCGCGCCCTTTTGGGGCTTCCGCAACCCACGCAAAAACTTGGAAATCATCACTTCGCGCCCACTTCGCGCCGCGGGGCAGGTTGCGGGCGCCCGAGTGCTCATGATGCTCGCCGGCTCGCCTCCTGGGGTCGTCCACGGCGGCCCCGAAACCCGCCATGCCGTGGGGAATGGCTGCGAAGCGCGTGCGCGTTCCGAGACGCCTCCGGGCCAGGGCCTGCGCGGCCCTATGGAGAAACGGAGGTCCGATGATGCGGGGTCGGCGGCGGGTCGGCGGCACAACCCGTCGTGGCTTTTGCTTCGCAAGACAAGCCCATTCGTCTGAGCCATAGCTCAGTCCATACAGGGCAACGAAGCGCTGCCCGATTTAATGGCTGCCGCCAATGCCGCCGACCCCAGAAGGAGGCAAGAGGACGAGCAGCCTCCATGGAGACTTCACTGTCGCTCTGCCAGAGTGCTCGCTATCAGCGGTTTAGAAAATTACATGTCATAGTGTTTTATTTGTAACATTTCTATAGTATACTAGGGTGTAGGATGCCCAAGGGAATTCTCCGATTAGCATGGCTCCTGCGCAAGGATGACACGCACGAATCGAGAAGTGTGTGGTACCAAAGTACTTGGAACGACACAGAGAAGATAATCATGGCTCCGCGCAAAGATGACACGCACAAATCCACAGCGGGAGGCCGGCGTTTTAAAGGGGTGGGGGGCGGGGTAGTAGTTGTAGGCTGGCAATAGGGTTTCGCCCTCCGTGGCGGTTAGGGTTTCGCCCTCCGTGGCGGTTAGGCGCCCTCCGTGGCGGTTAGCGGTTTAGGGCGCCCTCCGTGGCGGTTAGGGGTTTAGGGCCTCAGGGTTTAATAGGGTCTGGGTTTGAGTGGTCGGGGTTTGGGCTGGGTCTAATAGGGCCTGGGTTTGAGTGGTCGGGTCTGGGCTGGGTTTTTCGGGTGTAGCCAAGAAAGGCGATATGAAAATTAGGTCCGTTGGCGGTGGTGAGGGTGGTAGCGGCAGTGAGGGTGGTGAGAGCGGTGGGGGGTGGTGCGCGTGGTGGGGGCGGTGTGGGTGCGGGGGGGTGCCATCTATGTGTGCGAGCTTCTGTTCGTGGCGGTCAGGGGTTTAGGGCCTCAGGGTTTAATAGGGTGTGGGTTTGAGTGGTCGAGTTTTGGGCTGGGTCTGATGGGGCCTGGGCTTGAGTGGTCGGGTCTGGGCTGGGTTTTTCGGGTGTAGCCTAGAAGGGCGACATGAAAATTAGGTCTGGTGGCGGTGGTGAGGGTGGTAGCGAGGGGTCGGGCACCCATTGGGTTCCGTTAAGTTAGTCTCACTCCACGAAATTAGTTCAATTCCAGTACCATTAAATACCACTAAAACCAAGCTCAAAACCAGCCATTTAAACCAAGCTAATCTCCAGCGAGTGGGGCTAAGTGGGACCGAGTGGGACCGAGTGGGGCCGAGTGGTGCCGAGTGGGACCGAGTGGTGCTGCGAAGAGGTCGGGCACCCATTGGGTTCCGTTATAAATAAGTTTAATTAATTTTCTAATTCCACGAAATTAGTTTAATTCCAGTACCATTAAACACCACTAAAGCCAAGCTAAAAACAACCCAAACCAAGCTAATCTCCAGCGAGTGGTGAGGAGTGGAGCCGAGTGGAACCGAGTGGAGCCGAGTGGGATCACTAAATACCACTAAAACCAAGCTAAAAACCAGCCAAACCAAGCTAATCTCCAGAGACTGGTGCCGAGTGGGGCCGAGTGGTACCGAGTGGGGCTGAGTGAAGCCGAGTGAGGCCGAGTGAAGCCGAGTGGTGCCGAGTGGAACCGAGTGGTGCTGCGCAGGGGTCGGGCACCCATTGGGTTCCGTTAAATTAGTCTACTTCCACGACATTAGTCAAATTCCAATACCACGGAATACCACTAACACCAAGCTAGAAACCAACCAAACCAAGCTAATCTCCAGCCAACTGCGAGTGGGGCCGGATGGAGCCGACTGATGCCGAGTGTGGGTGAGTGGTGCCGAATGAAGCCGTCCGGCCAACTGCGATGCATAGGGTTCCCTTAAGTTGTAGTCTGATGCAGGGGCAAAGTGCAGCGAAAATGTAGCACCCTCGAGCGCACATTCCAAAGCTTCTGGACGCCGTCCCGGTTCCCGGTGGGTCGGCGGATTTTTATTGCTACGAGCTCAGCCTGAACCGACAGGGCACTCACTCGCCGTGAAGCCGGATGCTGCTCCGGGAAGCGTGCACTTCGAAAACCCGAAATTCCTCCGCTGCGCTCGTAGGGTTTCACTCTGCCCCCTACAGCATTCCGGCGATGTTTCCGAACCGGTGCAGGGGCTTCTGGACGGGGATGGCTTCCTCGCACACCAGGGGCTGCTGCTCGACGGAATGTTATTTAGCGTGGGTTCTTTTCTTGTACTGAGCTGCTTTGAGAAGGAAAATCCACTTAAGCGAAATTTCAAATTGGGGCGAGATTTGACGCAAGACATGTAAGAGCAGTCAGTGGTCATGCGCGAAGCAAGCGGACATGCTGCCTCGAGGCTCTACACCTTCAACCGCTTCGGCGGTTACGATTTCGCTCCTCTGTGGCTTGCCCTTGTGTACGAGACAGAATTCGGTGAAGGGGCTCTCAAGGTTGAGGGTTCAGTGCTGAGAGAGTTCAATGTATGGGTTGAGGGCTAAAGCTAAAGTCGAACGCATCTTGCGGGTAGTCGGTGGGAGTTTGCAGTCACAGTAAGTTACAGTCTTGCTTCCTTACTCCAACAGTGTGGGAATGCACCTAAAATGCTCGCCCGAATCTTTTCCAGCCTATCCCAGTCCTATGCCTGCCCGAAAGTCAGCTGGACAACAACAATCGTTCCGGCTGAGGTTCAAACGACCCAAACCTGACGCAGCCACTGCAACTACAGCAATGGGCATTTCCTCCAATCCAATCCCTCGACCTGAAAGGTTCGTCGCGACCAAAGCCAAAATCTCAAGCCCAGTTCACTGCCAAGGCGCCGCCTATGCGATCAGCTGGAGGTCTCCAAGGAGGAGTTCTGCGAAGGAGTCCTCCAGGTCGGAGCGGAGCTGTAAGTCAGGGCTTTCAGGATCAACGGTGCAGGGTTCGGGGTTTGCAGGTGTGAAAGTCTTGGATTTGAGGGTGTGCGGTACAGGCTTGGCATTTACGGCCTAGGCCCATGCTCTGCATCCAGATGGATTAAGCTTGTAGTATCAAGTCGAAGTGGGGTCTGCTGTGCTCATGGCTTAAGTGTTAAGCCCTGCGGATGCCAAGTGTCCCGACTTTCGGATCGGCGAATGAAGCCATCGTAGCCCACGCAATGCAGCGACACCGCAGCACGACATACTCGTCGTGCTTACGGATTTCCCACTGCGATTGTTTCTGCTGCTAGTTTTAGTGTGCAGCGTTGTCACGACACCGCCCCAAGCCCTGAACAACCTCTATACCCAGAGGCCCCATCAGCCTCAACCTCCACGAGCCCACCCCGAGGTCGTGAGGCGAGACAACAAGCGCGGATACTGCAAGTGCAGAGAAGTGGCTCGGCAATGTGCGGCCCTGTTCTGGGATTTCCCATTTTGTGCCTTCGAAGACCACACCACAGCAGTACAGGACCACTTCCATGCTGCTGGCTCATACACTTGCTGCTGCTACTATGACCATATACTCACCACAGGTAACATCGCTTTGGAACACCACCCCTGTGTTTTTGAACATCTCCCTTCCGGTCATCTACTGCAGAGCTCAGGACAGCAGCGTGGATCAGCTGGTGCGACAACGCCCTGGCTGCCTGCTTCGGAGCTCGGACCCCGATGCCGAGCTCAGATACCTGGTGGAGGCCTGCATCCAACCTTTGAAACTCTCTTTGGGCGCGCGGTTTAGGGACTTGACGTCGTTTAAGATCAGATTTGTGGAGCCGAGGTCTGGAGCTATGTTAGACAAGAGTTCGCTGGAGTTCTCTGACCGCATAGCTTCTGTCTTTCGCGACGCCTGCCAGGTCACCGAAGACTCTCAGATGCCTGGCGAGCACACTTAATTTTTAAAAAATTCACTCAATACAGGGCGGCTGACGACTCTTCAGATGATTCCGTCGACAGTCGGAAGTGTGGCTATGTTACTGCTTTAGAGTCAGATACCGTGACACCATGCCACGACACGCCCTCGTTGCTTGCTCACTTCATCTGAGGCGCGAAGTCCTCGAAAGGGCCTTCGATTGTGCCTCGACTGTCACCTTCTGCCCTCCCTCTGCAAGTCACAGCTATCCTGAGCTACTACAGGGGCCTGAATTCATAGTTACTAATTACCAATTCTATTTTGAGGTTCCTCAAACAAATTTTAGTATAAAGGGGGCACCAAAACCCTGTTCTAATTACTAGGGCCCCTACATTAGGGTGTAGTTTGGGGGTTCCTTATTATAATTATATAAGTATCATCCCTATGTTAGGGTGTTGTTCTTGATTTTTGTCGGTGATGGCAGCTCTCCGGACACGGCGTCAGCACCGAAGCCCAGACCAAGAGGATGCTTGTTGCGGGTGGTTGGCAAAATTAGGGTCCCTTTTCGGGTCCCTACTATAATAGGGCACCTATGACTTAGGGTATCCAGAAAAGGACCCTAGTTTTAACAACCACCCTTGTGAGGTGAGTTCGACAAGGTGGCCGTTCTTAAGGGCGACCAGCTTCACCTCGTGAAGAGATCAGAGGGCAGCGGGGTGCTCAGAGCCGAAGCATCCTGGTGGAAGGTTGGGAGAGGGTTTAGGGACTTCGACTTTGCAGATGGGTGGTTGTCAAAATTAGGGTCCCTTTTTGGGTCCATATCATAATTTGTATTATAATACGGCACCTAATCTTTAGGGTACCCAAAAAGGGACCCTAACTTCGACATCCACCTAGATGTGGCTTTGCAGGCTTGTTACTTTTGCTTTGAGTCGACAAACCCGGCTTTCTTCAGACAACTTTAGTCGCTGGTCACAGCTAGCCTTGCAGCATGTAGTCTTCACTAATCACTGTCCCAAGGCAGGAGTAGCCTGGGTGCCTATGAGTAGCTTTCGGGATTCCAGGACAAGGTTGAGAGGCGTTGCCGGCTGGTAGGAAGCTGCGGACAAGGCAGCTGACGCTCCTACTGGAGCTACTCTAGAACATCCGAATGACTCGATCGGTCCATAGCGCACTATGCTCTCGACACCCCAAGCCCCAGTGCTATCCCTTGAACTACGTAGACATCATGCCTTGAACCCCAAGACGCCGATCCCCACAAAGGCACCTCTGCCCGCCGAGGCCTCCAAGTGGACCAGACGAAGACCGCCTCGGCTTTGCGGGGGCTCATCGCCGGGGAGCTCAGGGGTCCTGCGCGTAGGTAGGGCTTTGGGACATTTTATGTTTGCTCTTACTGGGCTTAAGAGGATCTTACCTACTAATCTTTTTCAAAGGCTTTAAAAGCACCTCCTAGTGCATGTACTGTAAGCGCTCACAGGTGCCCAGCATAAGGTGATACCTGGCTGGATGAGTTGTTGTGTGGCTTTGCGCTGGTCGGTCTTCAAAGTGTCAAGCTTCTTGTCATGATTCTCGGTAGCTCTGCAGCTTTTTTGGGGCTTTCGTTCAGTTTACAATACTTACACAACGGTTAAAGTCAAAGTCTGTCGCAAAGTGGCTTGCAGCCTGGGGTGGTGTTGTCGGCCCGTTGCGATCGGGAGTCATCCCAACATCCTACACCCAAAATCCATTGCACTTATAATATAAGAAGGCCATAAATCCTGTTGCCTAGACCCAAAAACCCTAAACCCTAAATGGTGAAGTATCAGGCTCGGAGGCAGCGAGGTCCCAAATCCCCGATGTTCCTAGGCCAGCCTCTACACGGAAGAGGACTAACGCGATGCTTTTCTGCAGGGAAGGCCGTGCCGCTTCCGGGGGGCACCTTGTCGGTTCGGGCTTCGAGCTTCACCCGGCATAGCTGTAGTCACGGGTTTCGGTGTTTGAGACTTCCGTTTGAGGGCTCGTGGCATTAGTTCGGGCTTGCGGAGCCTTTACACTTGATGAGAGGGGATTCAGAGACGTTGTTACTTCAGGGCCTGCTTGCCTGCTTTGGTGCTGGCATCAATTCATGAAACTCGGAACTTGTCGAGCCATTATTCCAGTGTTGTTGGTCGCATCAAGGACCTGTGCTGAGCAGGGCTGCCTTGTGAAGAGCGAAGGCGAATGTCGGATGCAGTGCGTACTCAGAACAAAATCCCAGAACGGGGTCGCAAGTTGGGGCCTCATCAGTCTTCAGTTAACAGTTACGGACTAAATGGCATCGTTGCACCTGCAGGTCGTTCCGGAATCCTCGATAAACCCGGCCGGAAGCAGACAGGTTGTTTGATTGTTGCTCCAAAGCCTCATCCTCCAACCGCCGAGGAGAACCTTGTTCCCGTGAGGACCTGAAGTACATACCGACAGAACGGTTGTTTGTAGAGTAGTCACTGGCTTGCAAGGGACGCAGAGGCTGCCGCGCTGGATGTCGTTTGTTCGTCAACCCCCTTGACATGTCTGCGTCTGGGGGCCGATCTAGCCCAGCCTAGGCTATTTAAAGCCTACGACCTACCTGTCGGGGAGTCCTCCAGATAGTCTCCGATATCAGATCTCAGATCTCGAAAGCTGCAGCTTGCAGCACACGGCACTCTTCCCCGAGCCTCTTTGCGTCCTGCGGCCTTAATTCGGTGCAAAATCCAAGGCTGCCTTAGCACGACCTGTGCCACCAGCCGATCCTAATCTTCATGCCATAGGCATCTGTCGGGGTTCAGAAGGAGTGCACACTCCGGCCCGAGGAATTCCGACTAGACTTTTACATGCACAGCTACTAACCCGGGAGCTGAGCAAGACCTGGTAGTAGTAAGAGCCACTCTTGCACAGCTAGCTCAGCTTCAAGGTGACAATCCCCGCTTGTACAGATCTCCAACAGACTTCAAGAGACTTCAAAGACTGATTACACTCGGAGTCGATAAAGGATGACAGCTTGCCGGGAGGGGGGGGGCCCTTGCGAGGTAGAAGGCGAAGGCGTCCACGAGGGATGCCGGGTCTTCTTTCTGGGCCAAGATCTTAGGATTTCTTCCGTTCTGCATTCCTGTCCCGATACGCTCCGCAGAAGTAGATGGCATCAGGAGCAAACGCGATTGTCGCGAACTCCTGGACTGATTATGCCCTTGGCCTTTGCCCGTGGATACTCAACTCTGGTAAGTCCTCCACCCGATACTACTCGTAAGTTAAATTCAGCGGCGCTTTGGTCAGTCAGTCGGGTGTTAGAGCCTTCTTCCGGACGCGCCCCAGCGTCGGGTTCAGGGGTTTCGGTCGGGTTCACGGGTTTCGGGTTGGGTGTTGATCTGGGGTTAAGGGTTTGCGCCAAGGGTTCACTTTGATTTGTGGTGTATTTGCTTCGCGAGTTGCCAAGCACTGGATGAGTTGGTCGTGCCGCAGCATTTTCTCAAGGATACGCACGCAACTCCAAAGGAAAAAAGTGATTTGCGTCCCGTCAGACAATGACTGCATATACAGTGGCCAGTGCTCAGCCGCTCAGGACTGCATCCTCACAAGTTTTCGCAAAGGCCATCAAGCCCTGAGTCCCTCAAACCCGAGCTTCACAACATGTGCTCTCAGAAGTTCTTGAAGTCCATAATCGAAGCCCCGGAACTGCATAGACTCAAACCTGGAGCGTTTCATCCTCGACAGCTTCAGTCGGTGGAGGCTGTTCTGTTTGCGGGTTTGGCACTTTTTCCCCACCATCGTAGATCAAGTGATTCTGAGTGGCACGTCGGGATCACAAGCGCCCCAGGTCCCTAAGCATCCTAAGCCGCAAAAGGTCATGTCAGCGCTGCAGCTTCCATTGCCGTCGGCGGGCGTGCTCGCCCAAGTGCAGAGGGTTCGGCATTTCGGGTTTGCTTGGGCTCTAGGGTTTTTGCGCGTTGTCACCTTTGGTACCGAGAAGAGCGCCGGGCTTATGGAACTTTCGGACGATTGGAGGTCCAGCGGCTGCACAGCTTCTACAGAGTCTGTGCTCGTGGCATCGTAACCCGCGAAAGCAGTGATGGCCCAACCCTACTCAGTCTCAGCCGGCACCCGAAGTCTTAAGCCCTGGTATTGCAGTCTGGGGCCCGGCAGCAACCAACCTTCAGGCCTTGGCGTTTCGTGTACTTTGCTGCATAGATGCACAGCACAAGCCCTTTCTCAAGGCCGTCTGTCATCAGTTGCTATTGTTTAGCATTGTCGTTGCTATTGTAAGACTGTTAGCTATTGTTAGCTGTTACTACCACTCCATCTTTGAGAAAGCCCGACCGCTTCCCAGAGCCCCGAAATCTGAGATGCAAAGCAGAGTGACCGACACCAGGTCGGCACGGGCAAGAGGCCATCATGAGTCTAGCACCAAAACGCTTAAGGTCGTCGGGGTGTTCTGTGCTTGTGCAGCTTGTTTCTGCTCTCTGTTTTTTTCAGGCTTGCTTGTATTTTAGGGTTTAGGGCATCTCTTGCAAGCGAGTTCTATCGAGTTCTCGAAAAACGACACTTGCTCTGCAGGAGATCCGAGGGGCTCTGCGCAATGCCATGCATTCGGGGACTAGGATGAAGACTAATACGATCGACAGCTGGGAAAGGGTATAGTTCGTTTGCAGATAGTGTTGGAGTGTTAATCGGAAGGGCCGTCAAAAGAGTCAATCAGGTTGGAGATCTTTCTGCTTTCGGTTTGGGCATGGGAAGGGGTGCTTTGCAAAGGATATTTGGTTTGTGCTGATCCCGGTCCCTCAAGATCGTGTTTGCGTCTGCATGACCATCGACCGAAACCACGCAAAGGCGACGGAGATGCCATTTTTGCCCTTCCTGTGTCGCGAGAGTGTGGCAGCCCGAGTGCTAGGGGTCTCGACTTTCATGGTTGCTTGCTTCGGTTGTTGATTGGATTTGTGTCATGTGGCTCTACGGCTCAGGGTTCCAAGCCTAGGGTTCAAGACATGTAAGCCTCGCGGTTTCGAATGTCATGTACAAGTTATCAGTTCCTGTTCTTGCCTCTGTCACAGGGCTTCGACTTCGAGGTAGTGCTGGGGTCGACTGATTGCGTTGCTTGGAACTTCTAGTCTGTGAAGCTGGTCTGGGAGCTGGGAAACTGAGTACTTTCCCCCCCAAAAGTGCTGGTTGCTCAACCCTACTTTCAGCTCTACGGACTGCAGTCCAAAGATCCTGAAAGTCTCAGCCGTATCAGCTCGCAAAGTTAACTCCTCAGCCCGAAGCCACAAATTGATTTTACAGCCATAAGACCTACCTGCTGCTAATCTCAAACCCTTTGGCCCTGAGCCATGACTGAAGCAGTTATAGACATAGACTTTATTGTTTGTAGAGTAGGATCGGTGAACCAATGCATATTGGAAAGCTATGCCAAGCGCCGCCAGAGACAGTAGCAAGAAGGGATGTTTCGGTGCAGACTGTTGGAGGGCGTTGGTGTTCAAGATTCACGATTCTGACTTCTGATGTGACGGAATGACGAAGGAACAAACCCCACGGCATGGGAGGTTGCAGTCAGAGTGTCACGGCGATCCTGGCAGTTGTTCTGACATCAGTGCAATGTGCCCGCTCGATTTCAGAGCTGTAACAAATCCTGCAGCTCCGAGGGTCGTGTTTGGGGTTAAGTTTCGCGGTATTTACGGTGGACTATCACAGTTTGTCGTTGATCAGCGTCTCGAATTCGACTCCCGGCCCAGCCCCTTGCCTCACTTTCGCGAGGCCTTCCATTCGGATGACGCCTGCTGGTGGGCCTATGTGCCCCACGGGTAGGGAGCTGCACTGACTAATTCTCCGGAGCCAGCATAAACCCTACAAACCCTCACCTTATCACTGTATCCCTAGGGCCCTGGAGCTTTTTCTTATGACCCATCTTATAGGGCTCCTGCTGATGTCTGGGCTATGTTTCCCAGGGCTCCTTCTTAGGAACTATCGGTATCGTTAGTATGATTTCTCACGCAGGGCTCCTTCTTACTATTTCTTAGTCAGTGCTGCTTCGCATGACCTTGTTCATGTACATACGTATCCGAAGGTAGGGTTAGTAGGGTTGCGGTTGTGGTGCTGAGATAAGATCGGAGCGGTCGGCTGAAGTAGGGTTGTGTGATGAGGGTAATGTGTAATACACGGGGGAACTGAAGGTTTCACTGTTCAGGGTTTTGGGTTTAGCGGACTGAATCGTTGGAGGTTCGATTGCAGAGGCGAGCCATCTGAAAACAGTCGGTAGTCGGGCACCTGGGACAGACATGTGTTGCAGGTTTGTGCGAAGACGTTGAGACACCAGAGGCGAATCTTGGAGGTGGGCTTATAAGCCAGCCGCCATTTGGCTCAAAGTAGTCGTGACCTCCAGTCCATGTTCTTTGGCAGCGTCAGACGCGGAGTGTAAGTTCACCATTAATGCGGCTAGTGCTGATGGTTATGTAACCCGAAGAAACTCGCTGAGCTACGAGTAGTGGGAAGCGTGTCGGCCCCTGACGCTCCAGTCAGCCAGTGCCCCAGCTTTCAAACGGATCGAAGCGTAGGCCTGGCGGTGCTGGTTGCAGTGCCCCTGCAGCAACACTCCATTCACACTCCCTGTGGCTATAGCCAAAGCCGAAGCATTTGGATCCCACCATGCCTTTAAGGGCATCTTGCAGAATCGCTCACCCCTGAACCTTTTGGCATCGTTTGGCCCTTCATCGCAAAGGTGGGTTCAGTTATGATTGTGTTGCGGAGTTTATTGCGATGGGGTTTACCGCGGTCTCCAGATCAGCGGGCTTGTAAGCCGAGTACGAGGCGTGTTCTCCATACATGCAAGCGTATATACTTAGGTAGGTAGGCGATACCGTAGATTTTGCCACACCGAACAACGACGGTGA